AATATTTAAATGATACAGACAAGAATGAAAAACTGAATAAATAAATAAATGGATGGTTGGGTAGACAGATGGATTCAATGAATTAATGGATGTATGAGTGGATATTAACATTATTATTATCATCATCATTAATGTTTTATATGAATAAATTTCTCATATGATGCAAAATGTAGACTTTCCAGTGGAAATAATTTTCAAACTATTCTATGAAAACTCATGATGCCATAATTAATCAGTGTGACTTTTACAAGTCATAACGTTTTTTCACAAAATATAAAATATTTATGAAAAATTAGATCTGCTTGCTGAAAACAATTCAAACCAGTTATAAGTATATGACAAAGGAAAGTGAGGTCTCTCATAAATCCTAAGCTTTAGAACTAATCACTATTAACTTGTAGAGTACCGTATATACTGCCAGATTTTCAAAAAACATACAAATTAATATTAGACAACTTTCAAAGCACTTATATAAGGTTGGTTTATATTCTTCTTCAACCTGACAATTCTACACATTTAGAAGGTGATGTCTCCAGAGGCCACAGACAAAACAGAAAAAGACCAATTAGCATTTGTATAGTAAGAAATTTATACAGAAACTAGTATTTTTATTGTAATACTATCATACAATCCAGTGGATAAATAAGAACTATCCTCCACATTTTAAAAAGGAGGAAGGAGAAGCTGAGTTTCTTGCTCAAGATTATATAGGTAATAAATAGTATTACTTACATACAGTACCTAGCAAAAATTTTAAATAATATGAGGGATGAGGGATGCCCAAACTTCTTAATACTGTATACCTTGCATGCAGCAGATAGTCAATAATAATGTTATGCAGCAAATGGATAATGAATAAAATAATAGGGAAGACAGGAGGAATTCTAAATAAATTATGAATCTTATCAAACCATCAATTTTTAAAATCTAGACTCTAAATAATAAAAATATTGAGAAATCTACTCACTCTGGAAGCACAATGTAAAATGATGAATCAATTGAGTATACTCAACACAAGAATGACATCAACAATTTTTGATATCCTCTTTTTAATATTGAAATGTTACAGTGAAAACTACTGAATAGAAAATCATATACAGGTTTCTTTCTGCTTGAAAAAATGTGCACTGTTTAAGACCTTTTTAATTTCATATAAAGTATTCGTGTGGGTTTTGGACCAAATACAATAGCTATACAAACTTGAGCTTGTTCTTTAACCACTTGAAATTCAATTTTCAAACGTTAAAGTGAAAATTTGTCATAGGATTATTGTGAAATATAAGATAAGGAATGTAAAGTAGTTTTGGTGTTATGGTTCAAATGCATGGTGGCCCCCAAAAGTTCATGCATGAGACAATGCAAAAACATTCAGATGTGAAATGATTAGAATATAAGAGCCACAACCTCATCAGTGGATTCATCCTCTGATATGGATTAACTGGGAAGTAACTGTGAGAAGGTAGGGTGTGGCTGGAGGAAGCAGATCACTGGGTTATGCCTTTTGGATTTATATTTTATTCCTAGTGAGCAGAGCTCTCTCTTTGTTTACTGGTTGGCATATCCTGGGCTACTTTCCTCTGCCACATCTTTATGCCATCATGCTCTGCCTCACTTTGGGCCCAGAGCTATGGAGTCAGCCCAACCATGGACTGAGAACTCTGAAACCATGAGCAAAAATAAACTCTCCTTCTTCTAAGTTGTTCTTGTCAGGTCTTTGGGTCACAGTGACAAGAAAGCTGAATAAAATACCTGGCTTTTGGTAGGCACTCAATAAATGCTAGTTTCATTTTTTAACGTTAGTATTGTTTTCATAATTGTTAATATAATTATACCAATACTTTCCTAAAATGGTGCAACATGTGGACTTTATAATGGCAAAATTTTAATTGTTATTTTAAAAGTTATAAAAATGACTGTATAAAATCATAAAAACCTGGATTATATAAATGCTTGGTAGGAAAGTTAAAATGTGTTTCTCTGTACCTGTATTTCCTGCCTTCTGCCCAAATATAGATAGCAGGCATCTGTTCCCCGAATAAGTAGATAATAGATGAAATGTCTTCTGATCTAATTTCCATAGTCATTATATTATTTTCCTATAGTCACTGCCACAAATTGCCACAAACTTAGTAGCTTAAAACAACATAATTTTTTTTCTGACAGTTATTGGTGTCAGAAGCCTAAAAGGAATGTTATATACCTTAAAGTTAAGGTATCAGCAAAGCTGGTTACTTCTGGACACTCAGGGGGAAAAAAATTGTTTCCTGCCTTTTCCATTATCAAGAGACCCCCAGCATTCCTTGGCTCATAGGCCCTTTCTTCATCTTTGGAGCTACTAGTGTCACATGCTCAGATCTCTCTCTGCTTTTCTCATCATATTACCTTCCCTATTATAAGAACTCTTGTGATTATACTTGGCCCACCTGAGTAATTCAGAATAATCATCCCATCTCACAATCCTTAATTATATATGAAAGGTCCCTTTTGCCATATTAGGCAATACAGTCATAGGTTCTGGGGATTATAATAAGGATATGGATATGGAGGAGCATTATCTTATTTATCACAATGCATCCTCTGAATCCTAAATATTCACCAACATCTACATGTAAAATATATTTAACTCATATCTCAGCATTCCTGTAAGTCTCAAACCATCACACAATATCAACTTAAATTCAAAATCTCATCAGCTCAAAAATTCCAAGTCTTCTCATAAAAATCTGTTATGGATGAAACTCGGGGTATAATCTACTTCAAGGCAAAATTCTTCATGTATGCATCTATGAAACCAGAATAAAAATTATTTATTCCTAAAATATAATGGTAGAACTAGCATAGTATGTTAGTAAGATTTCTATCTATAAAAAAAATACTTGAATGAATCAACTAATAATGAAGAAACGTTTATTTTGGCCTACAGTTTCAGAGGTTTCAGTACATGGTCACTTGGCCCCATTGCCTTTGAAACTCTAGTAAGGTAGCATGTAATGGCAGGAATGTATAGTGAAGAAAGTTTCTCATTTCATGGCAGCCAGGAAGCAAAAGGAGAGAGAGGAATAGGTCAGGGTCCCAATATCCCCTTCAAGGGCACACCTCCAATGACCTAACTTCATCCAGCTAGACTCCTCTTATATGTTTCACTGCCTTCCAAGATTGTCACAGACTGGGGACCAACTCTTTAACAACTGGACTTTGGGGGGATATTTTAGATCCAAACTATATATAATATTATAAGTAATACAGATAATTACCCCATCTCAAGAAGCCTAACTTAATCACATCTACAAGTTCCCTTACCCATGTAAGTAATATATTCACAGGCTGTAAAGGTTAGAATGTGGATGGACATCCTGGGGGTAGGGGAGATTATTCTGTATACAATAGCCATGTTCATTATTAACTGAATACCGTTTGAATAATTTAACTTATAATATCAATAAAATAGTTTAGACTGTCCCCACTGATTACCCAACTTACTGAACTAACATTTATCATTTCCACATTTGAAACACGGGTTCTTCTAAAATTTTTAGGAAGGATAAATTCAGCAACATAATAAGATTATATGTTGAATTATACAATTCCCAGAGCTGCTGTTATTTAAATAGTATCTTGACATTATTATTATTATTGTTCAGCTTTATTTTTTCTTGGTAATAGAAATGATAATTTTCTAATAAAAACAGAAGGCATAGGCCTGGAGTTGTGGCTCAGTGGTAGAGCACTGGCCTCACATGTGTGAGGCACTGGAGTCTATTCTCAGCACTACATATAAATAAATGAATAAAATAAAGGTATATCAACAACTGAAAAAAAATATTTTTTAAAAAAGCATAAAGAATCATAATTATATTATTCAATTGATAAACACTTCATTGAATGTAATTCTATATCTAAATACACATGCAAATGATTTTATATAAATTGAATCACATTTATGTTAATAGTTTGAAATATTGTTTGTTTGCTTTTTCCTTTAAGAAAAAAATGTTAGGAATATCTTTTTAGGTCAATAAACAGGGAACTACATAATAATTTTTATGGTCCAGAATAGTCTTTGACAGAATGCTCCATAATTTATTTAACCAATCCCCTAATTTAAGATATGAATCTTTATATATTTTGTGTATATTCATCCATCCTGTACTAACCTGTCTACCAACTTGTACAATTGTGTTTAAACTAAATATCTACAATTAGAAGTGCTAGAAAAAGAGTATGTAGAGTATATATATTTTGTTGTATTTGTTTATTTACTGGGTTTTTTTTTGTTTTTTGTTTGTTTTTTTCAGTGCTGGGGATCAAACCCAGGGCCTCATGCAAAAGCACTCTACCACTGAGCTACAGTCCCAACCCTAGAGTATATTTTAAACTCTTATACATAACAGAAATTTTGCTAAACTTGTTTTTTGAAAGCAATTTGCCAATGTATATTAAGACCCCTACACAGGTCTCTTGGTGAGAGGGGATGGTCCACTGAATTATGGCAAGCTGGCAGGGTGAGTAAGTAAGGTGGAGTGGAGACAACATGTCCCTGCCCTGAGGGAGGGGCCACTGAGTGACAGAGACAAAGCTGTGTGTGATGAGGACAGGTCACAATGGGCAGGAGGGTAAAAGTGGTCCCACAGGGTTAGTTTAGGCAGAGGAGACACTTCTCTGAAGAAGATTACAACTGGTAGTTGAAGTTATGGAATTAAAGAGGTCCCTTCCAAGTAAGCACCCAAATCTGAATGCCCTGACATTCACAAGGGCCCAACATCAGTGTGTGGCCACATGTTCATGCACTAAGACAGGCACCATCTGGACTGAGGGGCCTGAGTATCTCTGTAACAGTCACTGATCAACGTCTCAGGGGGTCCTCAGTGGCTCAGGGACAAAAAAACCTGCAAAGACAACTGCTTGCCCATCAGCCAGAGAGGCCAGTGAAACAGGACGCTGTGTAAGTGTGTTGTTGAATGTGTGGAACAGTCGTTAGAAACTTGCTTGATAAAATAGCCATGAAGGACCAGATTATGTTACCATATTACACAGCCCAAAACAGTCCCGCAATGGGGATGTTTAATACCTCCATGGGGAAACTGCAGCAACAATTGTACAAAGGGGAGTATGATATATTCAGGTATGCACCAATGTTTGAGAGTGACTTTATCCAGATCAGTAAAAGAGGAGAATTGATTGATGTGCACAACCATGCCCGGATGGTGACTATGGGTGTTGTTCGCACCAGCCCTTGCCTCACACTACCTGATGTCATGCTGCTGGCCCAGCCAGCTGCTATCTGTAAAGGCTATGCCCCTTGTGGCCTTGCCACTCAAGAAAGAGCTAAAAAGCCTACACAGACCTTAGAACTAACCAGGCTGCTTCCCTTGAAGTTTGTAAAGATAACCATCCATAACAGCCACAAAAAACAGCTCCACCTGAGGCTTGCTACTGGCCGTGCTTTTTACCTGCAGCTGTGTCCTTCAGATACAAGAGATCTTTTTGCTCACTGGGAATATCTTGTTTACATCCTGAAACCACCAGTGGAGGCTTACAGCCGTATTCAAGTCATTCCAACTGGGGATAAATCAGACATACCTGTGTTTGAGGAAGAGGACAAGAGCCCAGAGCTAAGTCTTTAAAGAAACCAAAAGATGGGCCAGGACACTTTGGGGAAAGCAACTAAAGGTCCTGTACAGCTCTTATAAATGAGATTCAACTGGGAAATGCACCCCTTTTGGAAGAGCTCAAGGCCAGATGATCCTTCATTTGGAAGCTAGGGCACACTAGGGAGGTTCCTAGTGCTTCTCCAAATTATTCCCCGTAACTGAATTTTAGAGATCCCTTAGTTGTCAGCAACTCTTTAATTTCATATCCAGAGTTTCAATGCATCCCACAGCATCCTGACCATCTAATCTGTTATTGAAAACATCCTACTCCAACCTAGATAAGTTGATATATTGTGGGACATAATGTCTCCCTGCTGCTATCACTTATACAAACATGTCATATGTGCAACAATTTCTTCTTGTTTAGTTACAGGAAGAGACAGGTGACCTTGCTGGTGTCACTTTCTTTACTTATTTTTTCTCCCCCTAGGCACAAGTCATGAAGTTCTCTGGAGGGGATAAAGAGCAAGTTAGCATCAGGAATCTTCACATGAACCCTGAAATATTTGATCTCACCTATTTTGGTTATTCTAGTGAGGAATGGCTCCAACATGTGTCCAACATATACTACATTCAAAAGTTCACACACTCCTGCAGTCACAGAACCTGATAAAGGGACAAGGGTAGCATCAGGAGTAGTGTTGAGAATAAGCACCATAGGTGTTGTGAATGTGGCTGATACCAAGACTGCAGGCTCAAGGCAGAAACTGCACTGGAAAGAGAAGATTTCAGGTTCAGGAGGAAGCACAGCCTACATGGCAAAGTGAGTGCTTTCCAGCATGTCTAAATATTGTGACAGTTCAAGCTGCAAGTACATTCTTGTCCTTAAAGGGTAACTCCAAGTTCATCAGCAAGAGGTGCTGGCCTCTCCCCAGAGGGCAGTATGAGAATGGTGATAGTAGGAGTAGAAATTTCTGACAAGCCTGTTGAAACATCAGGAAAAGTTCAGTATCTCATCTCACCCTTGCAGAGTGAAGGCTGCATGAGTGAACAGGATGGAAGCCAGGGGGATTCTCCAACCAGCAGGATTACTCTCTTTAGTAAAGAACCTTAAAGATCTGCTCTATACAGGATACAGAGGTGGGCATCATCTAAGACTGTGGAAGAAAGCAGTATCATTCATCATAATATAATCCATCAACTCAAATTCTCTGCTCTATAAAACAAGAAGAGTAGCAATAAAACTAATGGCAATTTAAGAGCAAGTTCTCAGCTGTCTTTAACTGCACCTTAACTTGATATCTATTATTAAATGAATAGAAGACAAAAAGAAAATGTTGATGGTTTCTCTCAAAAATACGATCTTCCCTTATAGCCAAAGAGAATCCTAAAATTTTAAAAATGCAGTTTTTAACCATTAACAAAGCAATCAATAAGAAGCAAGAAAATGTAAATGAATCCAGGAAAGCAGCCTGATAGTACAGGTTTTTTAAGTCCAGGTGTGAACCGTAGCATCGGCACTCATTAACTGTGATTGAGTATATTATGTGTCCTCCTTTAAATGTTTAGGCTGGTAAATTAGAAATAATACATGGGAAATATCCAGTTCACAGTAGGCACAAATACATGGAAAATATGTAGTACATAGTAGGTACTGTGTAAAGAGTAGCAATTATCATGGTCAGGAATGTTGTGAAACAAATTTGAGTTTAATAATATTTTCTAAAAAGGGTTTCATTTATTTCACTTCTAATTTTTTGTCCAACTTAAATCTTATTTAACTGCTTTGAAATTATTTTATAAAACTTCTATGTACAGTAAGTCTTAATATTTTCTAAGAATTTTTATTCCCCAAAGGTATTCAGAATCTAAATTTTCATGAATTTGAAAGGAATCACTTGTAGCAATTTCAGTCTAGTCTCAATGAAAGGATAAAATGCCATAAAATATATTCACGAGCATAAACTCTAAAGTGCCCATCTTTTAGCCTGTTCATTCTATGTTTAGTATTCTGGGAGGTGAAACAAAAAAATCAAACTTGAATATAAGATCAATTCGAAATCTAGACAAAAACTGGAAAGTAGATCAATATTCTAATTTTTCAAGTAAACATTATGATTCTAAAACTGATACATCTAGGAACAGATGTATAGGTAATGTGGACCCCAATTAAGATTGTATTATTTTCATAATACTCATGTTCACTATGCTTTGAATACAAAAGATATTTAATACAAGTTCTCTGGAATCTATTAAATTAATTAATATAAAATATAATTTTTCCCAATTCTTGAAATTTGGGTACATCAAAATTTACACAGCACCATATTAATGGCACCAATCTTGAAGCTTCCTGTAGTGGACTATAAAGAAATGTTTTTTCTTTGAGCCCTAAATAAACAGTGCATAAAGCTCAATGATTTGTATTGACCTCCAAAAATGCTTGATGTGAAAAAAAAGTGGCTATCAAATATAAAAACATTTTATAGGTTGTATGTTTTAGTTTTGCAAATTCCAAGGTTATATTATTGAGAAATTATATCTAATCATAAAATAAATTATTTGGGGCAAATAATTTTAAATTTAAAACTTTTAAAAAAAACTTTCATATCTTTTAATAAAAATTGTTTCATGTGGTATGTACTTTGATTTCAATACATTTCATTTGATGCTGATGATTCCCTACAATATTTCAAAAGCAACTATACTGCAAGCTGTTTTTAGGTAGGGACCAAATATCTTTGTATTCAAAAACTATTAACCACATTATAATGCCTGGACAATCACTGTAATGGCAAAGGCCATTTTGAATTTCTTTTCTAATTCTTTTTTTTAAAATATTTTATTTATTTATGTGGTGCTAAGGATTGAACCCAGCGCCTCTCACATGCTAGGTGAGCACTCTACCACTGAGCCACAACCCCAGCCCTCTTTTCAAACTCTTCAATACTATTTTTCTGACTCAATATCTTTAAATTTCATATTTCCTATAGCAAATATTGTCTCATTTTGTTTCTGATTATAAATCCTAATGGCTATTCCCACCAGATCTTATTATGTCACAAAGTTTCCTTAAAATTCTGAAACAACATATCCTTTTACCTCTTTTAATGAAATAGTATTAGAGTCTTTAAATAAGTTCAGGATAAATAAAAGAAAAACATTTCTTTTATTCAGGATAAATAAAAGAAAAACATAAATGAATGGATCAGATACCCAGAAAATGCTAATAAACAAAAAAACCGAGTTTGAAGATGATACAAGTTGCATATAGGTGTGTGTATTTCAATCACAAAACTATAAAATTCTTTGATATATTTTTATAATTAAAATATATACATATATACATGTCATAGATAGGCTAAAAGTAAGCCCATAGACAACAATATTCACAGATACACATAAACAAAGTCTTAAAAATTTAAAGTGAAAAGAACATTAGTAAAAGAATACTACTACTTCTGGTTTGTTAGATTAAGTCCAGTTTTTAAAAAAAATACTACATCTCAAGTAAATTTGGAGATTTACTATAGTAACAAAATCCTAATGAGGATACTTTTTAAATGTGACATAGTGGTTGTAAACTACAAATTTTAAAAAGCAAGCAATTATGTCACCTAATAGTTTTAATGTAATAACAAAGTAATATCAACAGTGAATCATGTTACTTATATTCTAGGAAAATAGTAATAAATGAGATTTCAGAGGTAAAGCCAAAATGTAAAAGATGAAATATAATGAGAAGAATGTGAGTTGTTATTCAATGGAAAGTGATGAGAAAACTAGGTATCAATAGGAAAAAATCAGTACAGAACCATATTTGGAATATATTTTTAAAAAATTCTAGATGTAAAAATGGCAGTTCTTAACCCATTTTAATCAAATGTATGAAATATGATATGTCAAGAGCTTTGTAATGTTTTGAACAACTAATAAAAAAAATTCTAGATGAGATGAATTAATCAAAAAACAGTTCTGAAAAGTTTAATGAATTACAGATAGCTTTATAAACTACATAACATACTTGCATACACATATAAAAATTAAAACCAAAAAATGCTATGAACTGGGAATAATTTTGTGATAAATGTAACTATTAAAACATTAAAATCTAAAAATATCAAGAAAGTAATAAATTTATTGAAACTACCAGTCTTCCCAGAAAACTGACAGGAAAAAAACTAAATACTAAAACATTATAAACCAAAAGCAAGTCACTATCAAAACTAATAAAATAATAAAATAAGATAAAATTTAAAGTAAATAGTAGTAAGGTGTTGGAGAAACATAACCATGTTATTGATAATTTTTGGTAATCTGATTATTAAAGTGAAAGTATAATACTTTATTTTAATAGTTTTAAGAATTCTACTTTATAAGATATAACACAAAGTAATGATAAAAGATTTTTACAAAGACATTAATTTTATGAATAAAAGCATGGGTAAAAAAGGGTCAATTATTATAACATTGTTAAGCACATGAGGTTTATTTAAACAAAATATAAAAGTTATGCTTGTTAATTTCCTTTCTCCTTTACATATATAAATGTGAAGTAAAAATCCACACAGTATGTAAAAATTTTAAGGGAAGATGTGAAGATCTACAAAATACACATTTGTTTATTAGTTCATTCAACTACTCTAACTATGCCAGTAACTATGCTGACATTAGGCCATGGATCTTGAGCATCAAAAGTTTGGGTTTATACCTTTATGGAACTCAATCCAGTATATATTGACAACAACTCTGTAAAGATCAGGATAAGCTATCTTAAAAATTCTATGAAGAGATTTTCTCACAGTACTGGGGATTGAACCCAGGGGCATTTCACTACTGAGATACCTCCCCAGCCCTTTTTATTATTTGAGACAGGGTCTCACTAAGTTGCCCAGGCTGGGCATTATATTAACATTATAGTCTTTTATCTTAAGTTCTTTCTCATCTTGTGCAGATATATTTTATTTTAGCTTCAAATTTCCTTAAAGGAAATATTTTTCTCATTTTTGAAAGTCCTCTAAGGGTTTATAGTCCAAACCACGTATCAGGAATTTGAAGGTAACACAGTAGAACCTAATGAATAATAAAATTATCTAAAAATTATCTAAAACTTATAGTCAATGTTTTAGTGTTATCTTCTCATTTTTGTAATTTACCTCAAAATCTCTTGGGAATATATTTTCAATTTATTCTACAATGTTCCCATTGTGGTGAGAAAAAATAAACATGTTTATATCACTGACTATGCTATTAAACAGTCCAAATATAATTCCCTATATCTTTAAATCACTTTTCATTATTTATTTAAAATAGAAATCTTTAAAATGATATATTACTAGACTACAAATATTAAAACACTCATAAACATGATACATATTCTGCATTATAATCGAAATTCAAAAACTAAAAATTATGGAAATTATGTCATTGCCTAAGCAACACACATGCACAATAAGGTAACTAAAGAAGTCATAAAGTCAACAAGATACTAATTGAATTTCTAAAATTTTGAAAATTTTAATCTTAATAAAGTAGGCAACTATTTTTATGTTGTATGTACCTTTCTAGAAGCAAACCTTTACCTGTGCAAGCATGGGGAAGCCAAGGTTCCTACATCCATTACAAGGAGTCAGTGCTTCCCAAATTCCTGAAGGCCCACATGTGTTCTCATCATCGTCATCTTCTTCCACCTCTCCTGGTGACAAATTTATTGTAGATGAAGTTCTCTGAAATTAAATTTATATTGTACCAATATATTATCAATGCTATTTAGATATCTTAACATCAATCAAATTATATAAATTACTTGCTGTATGTCTCAATAAACAAAAGTCAGCTTTTCCTTCCAGCCAGCTCTCTAGTTATGCCATGTGACTTAGAAAAAAAATGCATAAATCAATTTAAATTGAAAGTGAACAAACTGGATGGAAATGACTAAAATAACAAACTTCATAATGAAAAACAGGACATGATAATGACCCAAGAAAATATCTGAATAGTAATAAATGAAAAAAAAATCTCACATTATCAAGTATTTAATGTAGGTATAAAATTAAGGGGGAAAGCAGTTAAAGAACTTGAAAGTAAATAGAAATTGCTAAAAAAAATGAACAAAAATATTCACCAAAAGCAAACTATAAAAGTATATCATAAAGTTTCATATCATAATGCGGTAATATTTTTAAAATTCCAACAAGACTCCCATGTTAACCTTACAAATTTACCTTTGTTACCTTCCAAATCCTACAAAAGAGACAGCAAAGAACTCATATAAATGTTTGAACCATAAGGACAAGGGCTACAGTATAGATGTTACTAGATAAGCAACAGCAAGAAAACTTTTGGACAATGATGGATAACTTTATTTAGATTAAAAAAGAGAAGGGTAGGTATTACTTGATTTAACAAACTTGAGAACAATGAAAGCAAAGTGCTTGCATGGGGGAAGAAGTGGAGGGATGGCTACCAGTAAAGGTATCAGTGTAGAGTTTCTTAAAAAGCATAAAAATTGGGCTGGGGTTGTGGCTCAGCGGCAGAGTGCTCGCCTAGCATGTGTGAGGCCCTGGGTTCGATCCTCAGCACCACATAAAAATAAAAAAATAAAGATATTGTGTTCATCTACAACTAAAAACTGAAAATATATTTAAAAAAGCATAAAACTCACTATCAGAGTCAGATCCCTAGTTTCATCTTCTCACTCAATCAGGAAACAAAACCTTCACCACTAGCAAAAAATTAGAGGTTTATTTTCCAAAAGAGTTGAAGCAAAGAGATTATAAATTCTAAGTATTCCTATACACTGAGCAAAGAGATGCCTCTCATAAAATGAGTAAGTCATAGCCTACATGCAGTAAATGAAAATTTTCAACTCATCAGTGCCTTTCCATATTTTCCTTAGAAAACATGACAGTCAGATTTCTGTTTCCTAGGTCAAAGACTAGAATATATTTCTTTAGAAACTGACTTCTGGTATAGTTTGAATATGATTTGTTCCCTCCAAAACTCACATTGGAGTTTAATGCCCATTGTGAGGCATTCAAAGGGTGGTTACTTAATCTAGCTATAGTGTTTGAAGTTAGGGCCTTTGGGAAGTGATTAGGATTGAATAAGGTCATCAAGGTGGAGTCCCCATGATTGAATTCTGGAGGCTTTAAAAGAGGGAAACCACACATTCATGTTGGGTTGCCCTTTCACTATCACTGCCTCAGGACTCTCCCAAGTTCATTGCCAGATATGGCCCCTCAGAATTAAACAACTAGTATTGTGAGCCAAAATAAACCTTTTTTAAAAAAACACTCTTTCCTTAAAATCTGTGGTATTGTTCAACTAATTAAAAAAAATAACTAAGACCACCTCCAAAAAAAAAAAAAAAAGATCTAGAAATTACCAGGAAAATGGTGAGGTCTATATTTTAATCTCTACTGTGAAACCCACCTCTCAAAAACATCCATTCACATAAATAGTTTCTAATGTTTTAGTTAACTATAAATAAAAATCACCACATATTTAAAGAAATACCAAAATAAATATTTTTAAAAAACATTGGTTTCGTCGGAAGAATAGAAGATAATCTGCATCCATGAAACAAGAACAGAATGCTACAAAATAAATACACGCACACTTAAATTGCAACAGAAGTATTGGAAAATATATCTAAGGAAATTTCTCCAAAAGTAAAATCAAAGATGAGACATTAGAAGTTAAGAAAGCTAGGCAATTGAACAAACAGATTCAAAACCCGAACAGCAGAAGTTACAAACATTAGAAAGGAATAGAAATGGGAAGATAAATGAAATAACAAGAAATTTTGCAAGAACTGAAAAAAAGTTCCTTATTCAGAGAGGCTGTTGAATGTTCAACAGAGGGATTTTTAAAAATATATATGTATAACTTCATTTGAGAAAGGAATTTAGTCTTTTGCCCATTTATTGACTGGGTTATTTGCATTTTTGGTGTTAAGGTTTTTTATGTATTCTGAATATTAATCCCCTGTCAGAGAAGTAGCTGGCAAAGATTTTTTCCCATTCTGTAAGCTCTCTTCACACTCTAGTTTCCTTTGCTGTGCAGAAGCTTTTTAATTTGGTGCTGTCCCAGTTACTTATTCTTGATTTTATTTCTTGAGCTTAAGGAGACTTGTTAAAGAAGTCAATGCCTGCATTACTATGTTGGACTATTGACCCCATGTTATCTTCAAGCAGTTACAAATTTTCTGGTCCACTTTAATTTCACTTATGAGAGATAGAAATCTACTTTCACTCTTCTACATATGGATATGCATTTTCCTAGCACCATGTGTTAAAAAGGCTATCATTTCTCCAACATACATTTTTAGCACCTTTGCAAAGTATTAGATATCTGTAGGTATGTGGGTTTGCCTATTTCTTATACTTTTCCACTGGTCTTCATGTTTATTTTTGATCCCAATACAAATAACCAACAAAAATATGAAAAACGTTCAACATATCTGGAAGTCATGAAAATACAAATGAAAACTACCTTGAGATTTCTCCTCACTTCAGTGATGCCAATCATCAAGAATACAAATAATAATAAATTCTGGCAAGAATGTCAGGAAAAAGATACACTCACATTGTTGGTCACAAATTAGTACAACCACTTTGGAAAACAGAATGGTGATCCAAAAAAAACTAGAAATGGAACTATCACATTACCCTGCTATCCCACTTCTCAGTATGATGATGATGATGATGATGATGATGATGATGAAGAAGAAAGAAGAAGAAGAAGAAGAAAAGAAACATTCTATTGTTAAACCGTCTATCAATGTTTATAGCACACAATTCACAATAGCCAAGTTATGGAACCAGCTCAGGTGCCCATCAACAGATGAATGGATTAAGAAAATGTAGTATATATACATATCGGTTTAACTCAGCCATAAAAAGGAATGAAATTATGGCACTGCCAGTAAATGGATAAAACTAGAGAACATTATGCTAAATTAAATCATCTAGACTCAGAAAATCAAGAGTTGAATTTTTTTTCTCACATGTGGAATTTAGAGCAAAGTAAAGGGAAAAGAGGGGCGTGTAAGTATCATAGTTCATGAGGATAAAGGGAAGATCAGTGGAGTAGAAGAAGAAAATTGAGAAGGAGGGAAGAAGAATGGGAAAGAGAGAAAATGTGGAATGAATTTGATAAAATTACACTATGTGAATGTATAAAATCACAATGCATTCTACCTTAATACACATCAAATTAAAAACTAAATAAATAGAAGGAAGAGCAGTATAGAGTATAGAAAGGGGAATAGGGAAAGGGAGGAGGAGAAAGAGAAGGGGAGGTAAAGAGGAAGCACTGAGGCCTAAAATGGACCAAATTAAATTCTATGCACGTATGATTATGTCAAAATGAAGCCAAATACTATGTATAACTATAACGTGTTATAAAATCATTTTTATAAAAACATGAGACTAAACCAAATAGCTAAATATTGACAATATGAAAGCATTTATTTTGTGTGTGTATATTTGTGTGTATATATATAATATATATATTATACACATTTATATTATAAACATAAAGAAAAGGAACAAACTTGTCTAAAGAGCTTCACAATGTAGTGTTCAGCACAACACACAGATCATGATTATTGAAATGACTAAAGAATTCTACATATGGGATTGTAAATAACTCCTCCCCACAAATATACACCCTCAAAAAAAAAGGTGTTGCCTTTAAAAGTAAAACATAAGACCTTCTTTTTCCTTATATTTCAAAGAATTTGTTTTTAATTTTCCCTTTATCAATTGCCAGTAAATGAGAAACAATAAAATTAAATAGTCCCTTAATTAGTTGCTGCCTATAAAATACAATAACATCTATGCTATACTGAGAAATTACTATGTGATTTATATTATCATGGGACTCTTTTCCATTAATTATTTTTATTTACCCAACAGACCTTGGGAGCAGATATTCTTTTCCCCTCATCTTATAAAGAGAGGTCAAGTAAAACCTGAAGTCTCAGAGCTGGTAAGTAAGAAAAAAAATAAAAATTCTACAGCCAGACTATAGGTAGACCTTATGCTTACTTAACCACTCTGTTACAGGACACCTTATTTGGCACAACATGCTATAAAAGAAAATATAATAAAAAATCAAGATGATATAGCTGCCATTTTAAAAAGGAGGTATATATTTTCTTTGTTTCCACTACATTATGATAACTCCTGAGAGCATTTTGCCACCTGTGACAGTCAGTGAAATTTTCTATAATTTGGAACACAGAAGCCCATCATTCATAAATATACATTTGTCCAACCAGTAATAAAAGGTAATTATCACAGAGATTTTTTAATCCTACAGATTATCTGGGTAAAATATATATGGGAAATCTAAAGCTTTATCCTAACAAGAACATCTATAGGATTGATCATCAATATGTTGTTCACAAACGTGAATAAAAGTCAAATTGGCATTTTTGTCACTAATTCATGATTAGCTACTGGTTTTGACCTCAGAGATGAAATTGCATGGCATTATAAACAATTGCACACCTGGTTAAGAACTGTCTACATCTCATAGATTGACATTTCATTTCACTAGTTCCTTTGTTTTTGTTAAAGGTACTGTAATTATCTAATCCAATTATGTGGTAAAGTTCTTACATCTCTTTCTTCTAAGGAAAAAAAAAATATTGATATCTCTTCCCTACTCAAGTCTCCAATTATTTCCCATTACATGGCAAATAATATCCTAATTC